TTTGATGTGAATAGCAATGGAAATAACTTGTTAAAATTTGTGAGATACAGCTAAAATAGTACTGTGAGGTAAATTCATAGCTTTAAATATATTTATTAGAAAACAATGAATATTAAAAAATAAATAAGCCAAAAAAAAGAGGATAGAATTAGAAAATAACAATCTACCAAAAAACAGCAAAAGATTAACATACCCAAAAACTGGCTCTCAAAGGACTAATAAGAGAGATAAAATTGATTAATAAAAAAGGAAATGTAAATAAGATACAGAGTGAAAAAGTAGATATGACTAAAGTCATGAGAGATTAAAAAGTAATAAAAATATTATGAACTATACACCAATCATCTTGAAAACTTAGACAAAATGGATAAATTCCTAGGAAAATAATACCAAAACTGGCACAATAATTGAATAAACCAATAATCATAAAATATATTTAGATGATAATAAAATATTTCTCCTCCTTCTCCCCACCAAATGTTGGATAATTTTTTAATGATACTGAAGCAGGGAAGGACTTCTTAAACAAGAACCAAAAAGCACAAAGCTTAAGGCAAAAATACTTGATATGGTTGCTTATATCTTAAGTATGAACACACTTTATACCCAGCCACATAATCCAGAGAAACTCTCTCACAGTTGCATAAGGAGACTTGTCAAAGGTTGTGCATCACAGTGTTGTTTCTGGTAGCAGGGAATTGAACCAATCTAGATGTCTATATGTAGAGGAATGGATAAGCAAAATGTGGTATGTGATGGATGCACAACGTGATGGAATAGCATGCATCAGTTTGAGGCACTGAACTAGATATACACTCATGGCATAGAACCAAACATAGTTTTGAGTGCAAAAAGTAGTAACAGAATTGGAGCAATAGTACAATACCATTTGTTATTGTTAGGTTGTGTCAAATTGGCTCTGACTCACAGCGGCCTTATGTATAACTGAACGATACACTGCTCAGTCTTGTACTGCACAATGCTTACAATCATTGCTATGCTTGAACCCATTGCTGCAGCCACTGTGTCCACCTCATTGAAGATCTTTCTTGTTTTTGGTAACCCTCTACTTTACCAAGCATTATGTTCCTCTACAGCAACTGTTGCTTCCTGACAACATGTCCAAAGCACATTAGATGAAGTCTCAACATCCTCCCTTCTAAGGTGCATTCTGGCTGTACTTTTTTCAAGACAGATTTGTTCATTCTTCTGGCAGCCCATGGTACATTCACTATTCTTCACCAAAAAAATGGAATTCTTCTTCAGACTTCCTTATTCATTGTCTAGCTTTTGCATGCATATGAGGCAATGAAAAATACCATGGTTTGGGTCAGGCATATCTTGGTGCTCAAGGTGACACCTTTGCTTTTTAACACTTTAAAGAGGTCTTTTGCAGCAGTACCATTTATGTAAAGTTAAAGATAAATATTCACAACCAACACTATATGTTCTACAAGGGCACATACACACCCAAGGACATATATCAAATAGTACAGACCTTGGTTCCTATTGATGAGGGTGAAAATTGGGAATTGGGATTAGAGATTAAGTCAAGAAAAATGAAATAAAACAAATGAAGGGCCTTGTGTGGTCTAATGGTGATAATGAATTAAGAACTATGTAATGTGATTAATAAAACACTTTACACCTAGGTCAAACCAAAAAAGAAGATTCCAAGTGTTAGTAGAAGAGAGTAGATTCCAATTACTCTTGAGGTAGAAGGACCTTAGCATTCAACCATTCTAATCTCTTCCCAGGGCAAGAATCCTGTCTCCAGTATCCTTGGAAAATACCACACTCAACTTGAACTACAACATAAAACAGACTATTAGAGTGTAGGATAGTTATAGTGGGTTCAGAGTTCTTATATTTGCTTGAAAACTGCCCTTCCATGAACAACCAGCCACTTATCTGAGTTCTGCTCTTTGTCATTGAACCCAGTGCGTCTACTCCATTTCACCGAACAGCACTTCAAACACGTGTAATAGCTGTTATAGTTTAAGTCTTCCCTCTTCCAGTCCCACACAGCCAAATATTTCACCTGTTACTGTCACCCGGTATTCTAGGTCTTCTAAAAATTCTAGGGATTTATAGCATGACATCAGTATCAGCTACTAAATTTTGGCTTGCTAGTTTGAGAAATGTACTGAACATCCACTGTGGACCAAGCATTGTACAAGATGCTATACATGAATGCTTGGAAAAAAGGGAAATAACTTCTAGGAGAACTATAATTAAAGGATCTGGATCAAATTGTTGTATGTCATGGATTTTGAAATTCATACAACCCAGACAAATCTCTGTTATCTAGGATGAGTTACATTTTCTAGACTAATTTATCCATTTACTCACAAAATACTTATTGAACATGTTTTCTGGGGCAAGGATTGTTATAGGCTCTGGGAACCGGAACACACTTCTTAGCATCATGGACAGAGAATCCAAGACCTAGAACAGAATCCCAGAGAGCCAGCTTCCTTCTGTTGTTCTTCACTAAACCAGATGCACTTGGCACCCTCAGCTCACTGAATATGGATGCATTTTAATTTTCCTTTAGTTGGAGTCTCAGTGGTGCAAATGGTTAACACAGCTTGGTTGTTAACTGAAAAACTGAAGGTTCAAGCCCACCTTCTTCTGAGGCACCTTGGAAGAAAAGCCTGGTGACTACTTCTCAAGCCACTGAGAACCCTCTGGAGCACAGTTCTGCTCTGAAACACGTGGGGTCACCATGAATTGGAGTTGACCTGATGACAACAGTTCTTGTTTCTAGTTGGTACAGCCATGGATCGCTGTGACCCAAGAGCCCAGAAAAACTGCCTTTCTGGCCAATGGGGTGAAATGAACCACAGTGATTTGAAAATGGGAAGGGAATGGGCATAGATAGAATTCAGTACATTCTGAACTAACCAGGTTTTTTTTTTTTTTTAATTATTTATTTTTTTATTGTGATTTGAGTGAAGATTTACATAGCAAATTCACTTTCCATACAGCAGTTCACGTACACTGTCTCATGACATTGACCACAATTTACCACAATGCAACAGCTCTCCTCCCACTTCATCCCAATAATTACCTCTTCCCTGTGTCCATCCCTCCATGCCTTCCTGCCCCCTGAGCTGTCTCCCTGTGCATAAGCAGCCCTTCTTTCTCCCATAATTGTTCTCTCCAAGCAGTGTATCTACCTCAGGTAAATGTTGAACTCATAAGCCTGTCTTTTGTTTGGCTGGAAGCCACAGGTGTGGGTTCAATTCCAGACCTGATGGGCAGCTAGGGGCCATAGTCTCAGTGGTTCCACCAGGCTCTATCAGACCAGCAAACCTGGTCTCCCCCCCGCCCCTTTTTTTCTCCAAATGATTTTGAGTTTTGTCCACATTGTTCTCCCTCTATATCCAGGATCTCCTTCCTACATAGATCCCCTTCCAAGTGGTTGACATTGGTAGCTGGGCACCATTTAGTTCTTCTGGTCTCATAGTCGTATAGGCTGCAGTTGGATGGTGTACCAGTCACTAGGACTGATTGTATCCGTGAATTTTTGATTTTCTTCATTCTTTTTTGCTCTGGATGAGGAGAGACCCATCGTTGCATCTAGATGGCAGCTTGCAAGCTTTTAAGATCCCAGTCACTACTCACCATAGTAGGAGGTAGAACAATGTTTTGTGTAGTATGTTATGCCAATTGAGCTTTATGTCCCCTGTGACTATGGTCCCGAGCCCACAGGTTCAACTCCTCAGTCCCTCTGGGTAGCTGGCTGTGACCAAGCAGTGACTACCACCTTGCCTCTTGTCAGCTCTACTATACACCTGGGAATTCTGATCATTCACATTAACTTATAGGACAGTTATTTGCCAACCCTATACATGGTCTTGGGTACACTCCCTGCTTCATAGACATACCTACTATGAACTAACCAGGTTTTAATTAACACTTGAACGAACAGAGAAATTCAAAGGGACATACAAACCAGTTCAATGAACTGTTAGGTATGGGTTCCAGTCAATAACTTTCATGAATTTTTCCCAGGCTCAAACTCTGTGTAGCACACATTTCTACACACTGTGGAGGATATGAGGAAAACCCAGCCTTGCTTTGGTGGTCCATCCCTAGAATCTAATGGAGAACCAGAATCACACATACATTTTTTTTTTCTTTTTAATCCCCACATACATCACTGTATACAACCACATCCATGTGGCAGAGGTGGTTGGTGCAGAGGTACAGGGAGAAAGTACATCCAGGGCAATGTTTGGCAGGAAGATCAAGATTAAAAAGAAAGATAGTGCTTAACGGGAAGCAGCCCAGGCTGAAGGAGAAGGTTGGACAGGAGTTTTAGCAATGAGACTATAAAGTCAGGGCCCCCACCATGACTGAGACCCGTGCAGGCAGCTGCACAGAATGTGATGGCTGTTTTGATAGGCTAGACTCTGACCCCTTACTGATCCTGTATATATCATTAGTCCTGGACTTTCCAACTTGATACAACCACGCTCAGCAGAGAGGCTGAGTCAGTTGTGTATCCTTCCATTTAGCCACTTGTTTTATAGATGAGGAAACTGAGACCCAGAGAGGGGAAAAGATTTGTTTAAAGTCCCATAGCCAGTGATGGAGGCAGGATTGGAACTCAGAGTTTGAACTCACTGCCCAGTGCAGTCTCCACTGTGTGAAGTTGTCCTTCTAATCACCCAGTTGGAAGGAGGGTGTCAATCATGAGGTAGTAATAGTGCCTATAACAAGTCAGGAAGAATTAGGTCAGGCCATCCCATTCCAGGAAAGAAGAGTGAGAGGTGAAGAGGGGCTTTGGAGTTTCTCATGGTGTATGCCTGGGAGGCAGGGACATGGGGGAGTAACTTCTCTGAAGCTGGTGAACAGAACCTCTTCAGTTCCCCAGACTAGGAGAGGTTGATAATTTGTCCAGAAGAATTTGACATTCCAGATCTATACCTACAGAAGAAGCAGGGTCATCCCCTCTGTTTCCTAACTTGCTCTGTTCAGTCTCCTTATCTTCAAGGTAAGACAGTCACATAATCATTGTCACTGTTCTCTGGGGAAAAAAAAAAAAAATCCAGAAGTCACACCAATCAGCCTCGTGCAAGTGATAGTAGACCTCTTCCCAGGCATGGTGATCTCAATGCCAAATCAAAGTGACATTTTCTAAAGTTGGGCTACCACAGAGATTCTGAATGTAGACAGTTACTTCTAAATCAAGCCTCCGAGCTTCTGGCACCAGAAGTCTCCATCCACCAGCAGAAGACCTTTGCCTCCCTCAAAGTAAGAACATTGGGAACTTGTATGAAGGAGGCAAAGAAAGAAGATAAGGCTGATGGGTGGATGTTGCCCCTTCAGTAGCTGAGCATTTGGGAGCTCACTCTAACACGGGCTGACCAAGCATGGAAAATTGGCATGGTGGGACTCTCACCCAGTTCTTGGGGGAGATCTCTGAGGGATGTCCCTCTTAGGGTTTGTGATTATTTTATCAGCTTTCAGACAATGAATACTAGAAACACCCCCAATCAACTCTAACTCCTCGTCTGGGTTTGGCCTACATGCCTAAAGGCTACAGCACAGGTACATTCCTGGATTTCTAGCTCTGCACCTTTTATACTTACATTTTATTGTAGATGTTTTAATGGAAAATGGCCATGGGACCATTTCTGCAGCTGGGCCTAGTGAAAGGTTTATGTGTGAATACGTACATACTCCCCAGCATGGGAGTGCAGAGGGACAGTAAAACAATGACAGAATAAAATGACAGGGGAGTTTTTATTTCACTCATTAAAAACCCAAACCTAGTCTTATTAGGGGGGTGAGAAGCTTGCTGTGAAGCCTAAAGGGCAATTTTGCTGTCAAGACAGTGGAATATATGGGGGGGGGTGATTTCCCATTCCCCAAGAATCTCCACCCTCTGATCTTCTCCTTACCTAGCACCTTGACTTCCATTGCCTTCACTTTCCCGCTGATAATGGAAATCTCTTTAATTGAGATTGCAAGCATACATCCCATCATTAGAAAGCAGGATTAAAATGTAAATGCCTCAGGAAGTCTGAGAGAAATTCAAACCAAGTTGCACCTGACAAACCAAATTGCACCTGATCGATACCAGATTTGTTTGAGAGCAGATTTCAGGAGAGGTCGGTAAGCAAGAGTAGATACTAGTGATATGTTTTGAGGGGTCTCAGCATGAATTCTCTGCACTCCAATTTATATACCATCTCTTATATTCCACCATGGGGGTATATCTGTTGTTGTTGTTATGTGCTGTTGAGTCGGACCCGACAGTATCACTATGGAAGTAGGTTGCCCAATCTTCCTTCCGAGGAGTGGCTGGTGGGTTTGAATTGCCAGCCTTCTGGTTAGCAGACAAATGCCTTAGGCACTACGCTACCAGAGCTCCCCGTTTGTTACCTAATACTTTATAAATGAATGTTTAACAACCATTTACCAAAATTTCACAGGTTAAACCATGGGAGGGGGTTGAGGTGCTTTTATCATGGAAAATTCTGCCCATCTGTCAATTTAGTCACAAGTGGTTTGCACAAGAAAATGACTTTGGAATCAACACTTTGCCCAGGAATCACTCTTCCTATTATCCTACCTGTCTAGGCATAGAAAGCCCCATGTCTTGGCCACCTTCCAGGGTTAGAGAACACCAACAATGAGAGATGCCTCTCAGCATGATGAAAATGTTTAGAGAGAACAACCTGGAGAGGGGCATTTCTCGGTTTTTGTCTGGCCATTGCTCATCTACCATTTCATGGGAATTTGGCTTCCAACAACAATCGGTGCTTTTGTTTCTGTTCTTAACCAACAATAATTGGTTTAACTGATGGCTGCTGGCTTTCCTTAGTTTTGTCAGCCTCCAAGTGGTATTTATTGAACATGGCAAATTAGCGAGTTACATCTGTGCCTGCTCTCCTAAAGCTCATCATTAAAAATACAGCCCTTTTGATCCTTACATGATACAGATCAAAATAGCTAAACAGGACATGCATTAAGCATTCAGCTAGCAACTTGTTGATTTGGTTATTATCGTCTACTTGGATTTACTTTGACCACAGCTCTACCTGCTGAGGAGAAACGGAAATTCTAAGGGGCAGACTACCATGCTTTTAAAGCAGGCCACTTCGGGTAAATAGGATGAAGCTTCCTTCCAGACTCCTGTATGAAAGTTTTTACCATAAATCTCATTCAACTTTATCCTCGCTCTTCTCCATCCCAGGCACATGCTCATTTTCATTATTGGCTTTAAAAGGTGAACCACCAGCCCTTGATTTGGTTTTTCATATTCGGAGATCAGTTCCTTTAGGCTTGGAAAGATCTGTTTAGGGGCATCTTCCACAGTCTGTGAAAATTCAAGAAAGGAAACCATCCATCATCATGTCATTTTGAAATCTGATACCTCTCAAAAGTGTGGTTTTTTGGGGCTGGCTGCCTCTTTGAGTTGACAAACTGAAAAGAGAACCCCCTTCTCTCCACCAAAAAAAAAAAAAAAAAATCAAATGTATTGTCATCAAGTTGATTAGGACTCATGGCTACCCCATGTTTCACAGAGTAGAGCTGTCCCATAGGGCTTTCTTGGCTATAATCTTCAGATCACCAGGCCTTTTTCCCACCGTGCTGCAGGGTGGGTTCAAACTGCCAACCTTTCTGTCTGTAGCCAAGCACAAATTTTATCTCCCAGGGATCTTCACTGGAAAAAAAAAAAAAAAAGCACTGCCATCGAGTCAAATCTGACTCGTAGAGACCCCTCCTTGGGTTTCTGAGCTGGTATCACTATGGAAATAGACTGCCCAGTCCTCCTTCCAAAGAATGACTGATGGGTTTGAACCACCAGCCTTCTGGTTAGCAGTAAATGCCTTAGGCACTACGCAGTGGCTGGCAATTCATGCTTAAGAATTCACACAGAAACCTTTGTTTTTAAGATCAACCTCTGATTTGAGCTAGTCTGAGTAAAGAGGATTGATAATCAAGAGTCCCAGTTCAGTCTGCAGATACAGTGAGCTCCCATCCTTGGCTAGTTTGTCTGGGCAGTTCTTGTTGTAGATCCGCTGTGAAGGATACCCTTCCTAGAGCTCACATCAGACCCTGTACCTTGCTGGCTAGAAAGTTGTTTTGTGATCTTAGGCGACTGACAGAAGTAGACTTTTGATGGGAAATGCAAAATATACAATCTATATACTTGATAAACCCACAATCTGTGCAAGAAGAAAATGAGACCAAAAATAAACTAATTCTGATTTTAACTAGAAGTAGGAATGACGATATGACTCAGGCAAATTACAAATAGTTATCTTCTGTTTATCACCTATAAACCAAGTCACGTTTTTCAAATATAACCCTGTGGAAATAATGAAAGGGAGCTCTGGTAGTGTAGTGCCTAAGACACCTTCCTGCTAACCAGAAGGCTGGCGGTTCAAACCGACGAGCCACTCCTCGGAAGGAAGGTTGGGCAATCTACTTCAGTAGTGATACTGCCTCAGAAACCCAAGGAGGGGTCGCTATGAGTCGGAGATGACTCAATGGCACAAAACAACAACAACAGAAATAATGAAAAGAAATTTGCTTCCTCTGCCCTCTTGTATTTGGTTTTATTGATGACGACTGTGGGTTATGTTACTCTACAGAAAAGGTGGTGTTCATCAAGTTCTCAGATGTGCAGTCTGGGTATCCTGGGACAGAGAGCAGGCTGATGTTTAAGTCATCTGCAGGGAGGCTTTAATCCAGAGCACCATCTACTGCAGGCTCTGAGGGCAGGCCTCTGCTCAGTGAAGTGATGCTCCACATCTAGTTATAACTGCTCTGGGTGCTTCTGTGGTTTGTCCATATAAGAGACCCAACAACTCTAGGAACTAGGGAATTTCCTAAAATATGCACTGCATATTAAATTTTTTTTTTAATTTTAATTTTGGTGAAAATATACACAGCAGAACACCCACACACCCATCAGTTTCTATGTACAATTCAGTAGCATTGATTACATTCTTCACGTTGTATCACCATTCTCACTCTCCCTACTCATTGTTTCAACCCCATTGACTCACTGCCCCTTAAACTTTTCATCTGTAAGAAAAAAAGGTTTAAAATAAGTGGCTTTTTAAAAACATTTTATTTTGAGATAATTTCAGACTTTCAGAAACATGTACAAAAACCTCCCAAATATATCCTTCCCTGGATCTCAAAAGTTAACATTTTATTATATTTGCTTTTCCTTTTCTCTCTTTGAATAGATATACATGTCTGTATATCCATATATATGTTTATAATTAAAAAAAATTTTTTTTGAGAGTAAGTTGCAGACATGATGCCCCTTTACTCTGAATACTTCAGTATTTCCTCAAAAGCAAGGATATTAAATAACCTCACTAGAATTACCAAAATCAGAAAACTAACCTTGAAACAATATGAGTAGCTAATCTATAAGCCTTAGTCAAATTTTGCAAATTGCCTAAATAATATTAGTCTTTTATAGCAAAAGAAAAATATGCTTATAAGGAGATCCTTGCATATTCTAATCTTTCTCAGATATTTACATTGTACATTGAAGATTCTAAGAAATCTTGCAATAAAGAACCTGTTTAACCTGTATGCAAGTGTTTCTGAATGATTATTTCAGAATACTCTGCAAGTAATTAAAAATTTAATTATGTGTATTATATTCTACTTCCTGAGCCAGAGAACTAAATTCAAAAGAAGCAGAATAATAGCCCTAAAAAAAAAATATATAAAATAAAATAAGTCCATAAGACTGCTAGCTAATTGATGCTTCCTTTAATATTTTCATGCAACTATAGAGTCCATTTCACTTCCTAACCATTCATACCCCTCCATCTTCCCTTTCCAATCCCATTCTTTGTCATTGTTTACCCTTCTTATTCAACAGCAGTGTTGCGTGGAGTCCAGGTTCATGCATTTAACCATTGGGAGAAACAGCGTTGTTTGCCTGTGTAATTTTGAAGAACGATAGCTGTGGTCTCTCAACCTCAGTTCCTTTCTATTTCTCTCAAAAAAAGATGAGATTAACTATTGATCTGACCCTCTCCATTGTGCTTCTCTTCCTGTAGCACTTCCACGTGGTTATATCTCAAGTTCAAGATGAGCTCAAATTCTCCTCCCTCAACCTTTTTATGTTGTTATTGCAAGGGTCCTTATATATTCTTACCTGCATCTCGTAGCACCCATGCTTCTTTTTGAAGATTCGGTAGGTGTAGACCAAATTCTTAAACCTGTGTGAAAGATGAGTGTGTGAATTATAATATACTGATAAACAAATCCAGACAACAGCTGCCATTATGGTTTGCCTGCAATGCTTTTGTCAAACTTGGATCCCCAAAAGAAACAGATCATTTGCATGTGCTCTCATCTATAGGAATTTGAGAAACCAGGTATTTTGAAATGAGAACCCTTATTCTAATGATAGAAATCTGGAATATAGCAAAGAGGATAAGGAGAGAGAATATATAACTTCCATGGTTTTGGTACCTCTCTCTAGTTTTTTTCTCACTTAGCTGTAAATTGATACAACATAGAAAACACTATTGGGCCCTGACTGTGTTGTTCATTAAACAACTTGTCATTGACCACATTAAAGATTGTTAATGTAACTAAAATGTAGCATGTTGGGAATTTTTTCCCAGGGAAGTGATGCTGTTTCTCACTGGAAAAGGAGCCATTGGCTAAATAATTGGACTATAATTAGTTCAATTATTAGATAATAATTAGTTCAATTAGATAACAGACCAAATTCCAGATTAATAGCATAAATTACCATATTTCTTCCATTATCAAACCAGATGGCCTCAAGTCAGCTCCAACTTATCATGACCCTATATGTTGCAGAGTAGAACTGTGCTCTGCAGAGTTTTCAATGACTAATTTTTTGGAAGTGGATCACCAGGGCATTTGTTCAAGGTACCTCTGGATAGATTCAAACCTCCAACCTTTCAGTTAACAGCCTAGCACATTAAGTGTTTGTACCACCAAGGAAGTCCTCTTCAATTACAAGATATCATCAATTGCAAGATACATTATCAATGTATTATAGCTTTCCAAGAGAAAAATGTGTACATTGAATGTTTCAATCAATTATTAGACATGTTCTGATTTCACAGAAACATTGAAATGTGAAAAAAAAAAAAAATGAGAATCAGATACTGACATGAGGTCCAAACTATCTGATTCCTCCCCACCTGCATCCATGCCAAGCAATCAGTTGACTGAATTGGTAAGTCAAAAATGGTAAGACAGGGAGTCACTTCTGACTCTAAAGTACAGGTGCTACTCTAAGGAGAGTGTCTCTCTAATTGTCTGCAGGCTTTGACAATTGACTTCAAATCCCAATCTCTTTGTGGGGTTTTCTAAGATGAGACTAAACCAGTAGGTGTCTCCAAATCACACTGCAAACAACAAAGGGTTTGACATGAGTCTTTGTCCACATGTGACAAGTATGTCCGTAAAGTATCCACGGGTCTGAGATCTCAAAAATGTCTTTTCACAGATGGATTGTTCAAATTAGAATCCAAATAAAGTCCATACATTCATTGAATTTGATTGATCACAGAGTTTTTTTAAAACCTAACTCTCATGTAGCCTGTGTTAGATTCTTAAGTAAATGATTTTATTTTTAATTACATTATTGAGTGTAATTTAAGAAAAATTTTACTAGAGGAGCATGAAAGAATAAAACAAATGGAGATTCTGTAATATTAATTAGTCCAAAAGCTATGTACTTCAAGTTATAAAGACAGACATTGCTCAAATATGGTCTTATTCTTGGCAAAGTATTTTTTAACAAAATAAAAAGCAACACTGCAGTAACACTTAACAAGAAACTGATTTATTGGATTTATGACACCTGCATGCATTTAGATGCTCTGGTGATACGTGTGTTAAAGCATTGGGCTGCTAACCAAAAGGTTGGCAGTTCAACCCACTAGCCACTCTGTGGGAGAAAGAGATGACAGTCTGCTTCCTATGGGGAAGTTTTACTCTGTCCTATAGGGTTGCTATGAGTCTGAGTTGACTCACTCATAGTGGGTTTGGTTTGGGATGCATTTATTTTAGAATGTTTGCTGATAAACACAACAAGAGTTTACAGAACAGTGAGATTAGTATCTACAGTACATGATTATTACTGAGTAGACATAAAAACTTTTTTAAATGCTCCCCTTTCTACTTACTATTTTATAAATGTGGTTTATAAAACTTGTACAATATATATTTATACTAAAGATATATAAAAAGACCATGCTACCCAAAGCCTTCTGGCCCCATCACCACTGGTGACAAGGGAGCCCTCTCCACCTTCCCAACACTCAGTCTTGCCTCCACTTTCTCTGTTTTGAATCCGTCAAGCTAATTTCGTTATGCCATTTATCCTGGTTTGTCAGTCATTGCAAGAGCCACCAGTCTCTCAGGTCATCTTTATAGCCTGCATTCTGATTCCACAAGACTCTACAGTCTCTGAAACCTTCTGAACCCTTTCACTGTGCTCCCTAGGGCCCAAAATATAAAATAAAATCCCCTGTTTCTTACCTCTTCTCCAGCATCCCCTTCACCTTCTTGCTCTAAAGAAAACCTAGCTCTCCCCTGAGGATATTGCTTCCCCTGCATTCCTCTAAAAGGCTGCTTCGTTCACAGCTTCTCACTCACTACTGGACCTGGAGCAGAGACCAGTGCTCTTCTTGCTCTCACGGCTCCTCGGTGCTGCTTTTCTCTCTTTCCTAAGAATCCTCAGCTTTGAATTTCATGTCATCAGCTTATATCACCCACTGTTCCTCATTGTTGCTGTCATCTCCTGACCCCTGAATTACTACCACTCATTTCTCCAGGTGTTAGCTCCTAGTTCACTGTCACTATCTTCAGTATAAGTCCTGTCTAGACTCTGGCGATTTCAGTTGACATGTAGATTATCCTTCAACAGCCTGCTTTCACAGGTCCTTGATCTCCTTTCCTCCAAATATCTTGTTCTCCACTTATCCCAGCCACTCATTCCCATGCTTATAACCAGGACTGGCTATCTAATTTTTGGGGCCCAGTACAAAATGAAAATGTGAGACTCTTTGTTAAAAAAATTATTAGGAATTTCAAGACTGTGACAGCAGAGCATGGAGCCTTCTGAGTGTGAGGCCTGGTTGCATGTCTGTGAAGCCAGTACAGTACTGACCTTATAATTGTCAATTAACTATAACCTTTTTGTTATCTCAATTTCATGCATCCCTTTGTCTTTCAACTACTTGCCTTCTTTCCAGGTACCTTCCTCTAGTACAAAGAGCACTGGTGGCATAGTGGGTAAGGTATTTGGCTGCTAACCAGAAGGTCGGTGGTTCAAACTCACCAGCTGCTCCATGGGTGGAAGATGAGGCAATTACTTTCTTAAAGATTTAGAGCCTTGGAAACCCAATGAGGGGTCACCTTGGAAAACCAATCAGGGGTTGCTATGAGTCAAAATCAACTTGATGGCAGTGGGTTTTTGGGTCCTCTAGCACACTGACTCCTACAATCCCTTGATCCCATGAAATCTCCAATTTGTTGATCTTGCCTACCTTTTCACTATACCTTACCTTCCTGATGTCTTAATTTCTTTCTTTAAACCAGTTGCTATTGACTCTATTACAACTTGGGTTAAATCCCTTGCTTACCACTATAATTACTCTCTTACCTGTATCTTTGACTCCTTTACCACCTTTTACTTTATTTACTCAATTAGTAAAAGCAGAACACTGATTAAATCCCAACCTCTGTAGCTGCATGTGACTGGGGAAAACTCACAGCCATGTAGACTAGTCTCACTTTAAATTAAAGACCACAAACTTTGAGTAAGCTCTTAAAACCTCGGGGCAATCACTTATTCTCCAATTCTCCTTGACAATGTTTCTTACTTTCTTCTTTCTCCTCAAATCCTCATCACTTCATTTCTGTCCACACTCTTAACTGAAGACTTCACTGAGGAGACTAAAGCAGTCAGAAGAGAATGTGTATACTCCCTTTCCCGTACCTACTAGCATCTATACTAACATACTCTGCCTTTGTTAGTGCAAATGAATTTTGCATCTAGTTCTCTAAAGCTCAGCTCTCCTGTTTCCACTGGATGCCATCCCCGCCCAGCTATTCAAGGATATAGTCCTAGAAATTCTTTCCATTCTTTCCCCCTGACATCATTAATTATTATTCTTTACACGCAGCCAGGGTGGTCCTTTTAATAATGTAAGTCAGATCATATCACTCTTATGCACAAAAAATGGGCTTATAAAAGCAAGGTGACGTTTGAAGGAAGGAAAAAAAAAGATTGGTGGTGGTGATGGCAGGGGGCATTTCTTTCTTAATAGGTCATCATAATTATCATAAAGCTACGAAAATTGAGATAACAAGAAATGGGTTCAAGAGTAGAATAAGATATCAGTGGAGCAGAAAAGAGAGCCCAGAAACAGTCTTTCTTTTGTATGAAGACTTGATGTAAGACAGAGCTGTCAAAGCAGATCAGTGGGTCAGGGTGGGCTGTTTGGAACAACTAGTTGTCTATGTGGAAAAACATACAATTGGATCCCTATCTCACACTTGAATTAAAGACCTAATTATGAAATGCAAATCATTGAACTTTTAGGAAAAAGAAATATAAGGGAATAACTTAATGACCTTGAGTTACAACAAAAATAAACAAAATCCACTGCTGTCAAGTTGATTCTGACTCACAGCAATCCTATAGGACCGAGTAGAACTGCCCCATAGGGTTTCCAAGGCTATAAATCTTTACGCAAACAGACTGCCTCATCTTTATGCAATGGAACAGCTGGTAGGTTCCAACCACTGACCTTTTGGTTAGCAACCCAATGCTCTAACCACTGCATCATCAGAGCTCCATTGAGTTAATAAAAGAATTCCTGAATTACAAAAAGTATAAGACTTAAGAAATGATTAATAAATTTACTATATTAAGATTAAAACTTCTGTTTATCTAAATGTACCATTAACAAAATGAAAAAAGTCCAGAGACTGTGAGAATAGCAGATTATTATTCTATATATATATGTGGAGCCCATGGAGCCCTGGAAGCTCAGTGGTTAAGCAGACTACTGCTAACCAAAAGGGCAGCAGTTCAAACCCAACAGCTGTTCACTGAGAGAAAGATGAAGCAGTCTGCTTCCATAAAGATTATAGCCTTGCAAATCCTATGGGGCAGTTCTACGCTGTCCTATAGGGTCATTATGAGTTGGAATCAACTCTACAG